TTTCCATAGCCTGCAAGGTCGGCAGTTCTTTCTATGGCTGTGCCAAATCTCAAGAGCCTGTTATTATTTATTACACATGAAGCACTTTCCATCTGTAGAGCTCTTTGGAGTCATGTTTTATTAGTTACTCAGCATTCTTAAATCTAAACACAGCTAAAGACCTACTGGAAGGGGGCAAGCCCCATGATTTACTTACTCATCACACTTAATGGGTCCACACAATTCCTCCCAATGACTGGACAAGTTAAGAAAGCAGCAAAGAAAACACTAAAACTAAGAAATCAAATCAATCCAGTTCTTTCTTTAAGGCCCCCTGGCAGGGGGCTAAAGTGCTGGAGTTGCAGCAGGAAAAGGTACAGAAAAATATATATGACACAACTCTTGGCCTCAAGGAACTTAAGGCCTAGAGCTATCTGAGAGAATCTTTATGCTATCTTCCAACTTGAAGAGTCTGGGTTTCTATAAAAGTATAAATAGGTTTCAAATACCAGGAGCAGAACATGTTCTGACATGATCCAAAATTTGAGTAATTAAACAAATACAATTTTGGCCCCATAAATCAAATTAAAAGGAAAGAATATTTCTTTAAAAGGAAAGAAATAAGAAATAGGGCCTTATTTCTTCAATTATCACCTTCCAGACTCAAGATAAACAGTCCCAAATCATATAAGAGGAAATTCTAGAAGAAATGGGGGTTAATAATCTCTTTCAAGAGCAGACAGTCAACCTAAGGAACTTACTCTAAAAAGAAAACATAAATTTAAGAGAAGGATTCCACTTTCATAAAGCCACTTAATAGATGCATAAATTAATTCTTATGGAAGTTGTAAGTAGCTTGGGTATTTCTCTAAACAGTAAAGATGAAAAGACCCTGATGCTGGGAAAGATTGAGGGCAGGAAGAGAAGGGGATGACAGAGGATAAGATGGTTGGATGGCGTCACTGACTCAATGGACATGAGTTTCGGTAAACTCCGGGAGTTGGTGATGGACAGGGAGGCCTGGCGTGCTGCAGTTCATGGGGTCTTGAAGAGTCTGACATGACTGATTGACTGAACTGAACTGAAAGATCCTTCTACTTCTGTGAGAGACATGAAATAGTCAAGTACAGATGAACATATCACCTGCCAAGAATAACAGAAGATGGATGGATGGATGGATGGATGAGAGGGAAGATGGGGTATTCTCCACACGATTTAAAGTTTAAACTAAGTGGTTTATGATTCACTTCTAAGGATTAGCATCTAGTAGCAAGCCTGGCACATATTAAATGTTCGATAATTTTTAGTTCTTTGCTGCCTTAAGCAAGTGAAAATATGCAAGCAAGAACGAACAGTCCCAAACAAGAATTCCTCAGTTGTGTTCTCTGTCTAGGTGCCCTAGTTGAGAATTCGGTTGTGAAAGTGACTGACTGTCCCATCACCCTGCTCATTACCAAGACTGATTCACCAAATAGTATGCAATTCACAACTAATTAAAAGCCATCCTCTACCATCCTTTGACAGGGCTTCCCTGATGGCTCAGTGGTAAAGAACTGGCCTACAATGCAGGACATGTGGGTTTGCTCTCTGGGTCGGGAAGATATCCTAGAGTAGGAAATGGCAACCCACTCTAGTATTCTTACCTGGGGAATCCATGGACAGAGGAGCCTGGTGACATACAGTCCATGAGGTCACAAAGAGTTAGACACAACTTAGCAACTTGAGCACGGCACCATCCATTGATGAAGGAGGTAGGTGTGTACGTGTGTGTGTGTGTGTGTGTGTGTGTGTGTGTGAATTTGCTGGCTAGGCTGAAGCTTCACAAGTCAATATGTTTGAAGCTTCATAAGAATGTCTAAAGCTTCATAAGAGCACTAGACAAATCTTTGCTATGCCATCTCTTTACCATGTGATACTTCAAGTTTTGAGTATCAGTTTGCTCTTAAGTAAAGGGAGGATATATTCTTTAGCCTGCCACTTCACCTGTGAGGATCTGATGAGTACATAGGTATAGTAAGGGATTAGTCCACTAGAAAGCCCTACAGAAACCTACGTCACATATCGTACTCCCAAAAGAATTAGTCATGGCCAATAAATTATTACTGTTTATATGACTGCTCTTCCCTGTGGTTTTCTTATAAGAACACCAAGCATTTGAAGCCATTATAATGGATGATTCCAACTAAAGCAGAAGATACACTGTGCTCAGTTTCCTTAAATAGTACCTAAATTATTGGTAGAGTCTTTCACAGAGCCCCAGGGGCCTGATTCATTCTTCTCAATTCTACTCCAGCCCCAGGAATGCTTGCTGCCCTGCCATCATATGCTGTCTTCTCCTTTTATACACACACCTACCTCCATGGCACCAAAGGGATCAGAGCAAGCTCAAAGTCAAGATGAAGACCACACATGTAAGGAAAGGCTGCTGAAGCCCTCGTTTCCCAACCTAGGTTCTAGGAACCAGATTGTGAAGGGAGGTGAATGTTCTACTAAAAAAAAAATTTGTTCAACATATTGACTAGCATAATGAGTGGGAGCTCACAGAGGGGTCACCTTATCTTTGTTCTTGTAGGATGTTAAGGAGGCCTGGTCAGGACTCTGTGCAAGTTGATGAGCTCAGTATGACTGGGGATATGAAGTAGGAGGAATGAAGAGACAATTTGGAAATATACTCAATCCATGCTTTCAGAAGGCCTACTGGCATTTTATGATCCAGATGGAGAAATGACGGCTTGGAGACCTGAACCAAGCAAGAAAGCAAGAGAGAGAGAGAAGGAGGGAGGAGGAAATGAAAGAAGAGAGGAAAGGAAAAAGAAAGGAAGGAAGACAAGAAGGAAGAAATCATGCCTGGTCTCATAAAGTAGAAATGACTGGTCCTCCCTAGACCAGAATTTTGTATTTTTATTTCTTCTTAACCTTCTTAACATCTGTGACAGGCAATTGACTCATCCAATTACTAACTGGAAAGCTAACACCTCAATTTCACATCCCTAGTTCCATTTCCTATGGTGTGAGGAAGTTTCCAGAATGGTCTCCTACCAGTCCCATTTCTCTCACAGAGAAGACAGAATCTATAAAAGCAGCAGACAATTAATAAGGCCATTACAAGGCTGCATTGGCCAAGTGCACACCTGTTCCTACAGCTTCGCGGTGGACACACCCGAATTTCTTCTCCAACAATAAGGACAAGCGGAGGGGGAAGACCACGAGGGTGCCCTAAATGCAATCCTCTCCACCCTCGGGCAGGAAGCTGTCTGCCAAGCGAAGGCCAACCATGTGTCCAAGTTACATTTAAGGAAATCACAAAGAAAAATTCAAGACCAGGGTTTTTATTTAGTCTTTTTAAGTTCAAACCACAGAAAGTATTTGGAAGAATTAGAAACTTCTTTCTGTGGGGAATTCCACAGGACCTGGAAAATCTCAGGCAAAATTAGAACCAAAGACAACAGAAATAGTAGAGATCTCAGAGATCATCAAATTCAGCCCTGCCACTCTGACACTGAGCAAAACAAGCCAAAGAGTTTCACAGCTGGATGGCGGTCGGATTGGGCTGAGGACCCACATCTGCTGACTCCAAGAATAATTTCTTAGTCCTCATTCCTTGCTAGCACTGACTTCAACACTAATTCCAAATTAAACCTACATGTGACCAAAAAGAAAAGGGAAAATAAACTATTCCCTGTGGCAGATGCTTGGAACATTAGCTTCTTTCTGAAAACGTTACAGTTCATGTTCTGCAAAAGATGGAAACCAACGAGGGTCCTGTTTTGTTAGTTGCAAACGCACACTTCACAGGAATGCATTTTATGTCTGGTATTCTCCCGCCGCTCCCTCGCCCTGTTTCTCTTTTGGCCATATATGGAACTGAGCTCCAATGTCTGGGTCACAGAACTCAGGCCTCAGGTATGAAAGCAATCTGCTTTCTGCGCTGTTTGTCTTTACTGAAAATCCGATGAATCCATCTAGGAAACATTTACTAAAATGCAAAAGGCAGGGAGAATTGATTCACACCCTGAACTTGGCACACAGAAACAGATTTTTCTTCTGCTCACCCAAAGGTATGCTAACCAGATTCTGTGGAGAAAGCGATAAGTTTAACAGATACAAAAAAGTGTCTAGCTAAAGAGGTGTGTGCATGTATGTGTGTGTCTATATGTGTGCAATTCACATGTGTGTCAGGGAGGGGAGGATAGTTGTCCTAACACAGAGTCAGAAAGACAAAATTGATGCAAAAACCAAGACAGCACCATCAAACCAATAACAATACATACTAGGGATTCATCTTTCCTGATATGACTTAGCTATCTCTTTATGTGGTATCTGACTCTCAAACTTTTGCAAATAGCATTTCAGAAGCAGAAAATCTCTTTGAAAATGGGGATTACCTGCAATTATTATTTCAATTTAAAACAAGCATTTAGAAAGCATCTATAATTTCCAACAGTATTCTTGAAAAGACTTGCACGTGTGCTGTGCTCAGTCATTCAGTTGTGTCCAACTCTCTGTGACTTCATGGACTGTAGCCCTCCAGGCCCTTCTGTCTGTGGGATTTCCCAGGCAAGAATACTGGAGTGGGTTGTCATTTCCACCTCCAGGGGATCGTCCCGACCCAGGGATCGAACCCGTGTCTCCTGTGTCTCCTACATTGCAGGCAGATTTTTTACCTGCTGAACCACTGGGGAAGCCATGGACTTATACAAAGAGAATTCAATAAGCACATTCTCCAGGCATGTCAACTTAGAAGGACAGAAATATGGGAGCAGGAAAGAAGAGCTATTTCAAGTGAGGGAGAAACCAAGGGCCCAGGAATAGCAATGACTTGCCCAGTGGTGCATAGATCAGTAATTTCCATGTGGAGCACATAAAATCTAAAATGAAAGTAGAAGAGACTACATAAAGATTAGTTATGAGCTCCAAGAGCAGAGAGAGAAAATGGCTACCTGTTAACCCTTCACAGAATTCAGCACTCACTGCAGCACGTGGTCACCCACAAACTAGCTTCGTCATTTTCCAGAGAGTACCTTTTGTCTCCCGGTGAGGACAAGGATGGGTAGAGATCACATTCTCTATTTGAAAGGCCTCTGGAGACAGGCAGTCCTGGTTATAAGATGAGGTCCATTGACTCTGTGAAGAGGAACCTTCAACAAGTTACTTGTCCTCTCAATATCTCCAGTGATTCATCTACAAACTGGACATGATCATTTCTACCTTATAAAGCAGCTGAAGAGTTTAAATGAGCTTTTTACAAAGTGTCTGCCTAGCAGCGTTTGACACATAAATAAGCACTTAATAAAGAATAGTGTTAACAGGATATTCATTCATAATTCTGGCTACAAGAAAAAGGAATAATTTGTTGCAATGGTTATAAGTCAGGGAGCCTAAGGTTCACATCCCTGAAATTCTTCTCAACCTAAGCTGATCTGTGAGCCTAACTCTGATTCTACATGTGTTACCTCATTGAGTCTCCTTCTTGTCTATATTATGGTGAGGCTCAAGTGAGATCTTTGCTGGAAAAAAGCTCTTTAGAATTTGTCTTGCATAACCAACTTCCTGACATTCCTATGGAGTTGGGAGTATATAGGAAATTTTACTTTAATTTCTAAAAGTAAGGAAATGTGGAAAAATTAATACCTACTAGAGCTCATAAGTGAGTTTGAAAGCCACTTGTAAAATAAAGGTTTACGGAGAATAGGCAAAAAAAAAAAAAAAATTGTCTTACAATGTGAAAATGTAAAATACGGTGGTAAAAGTCAGAACCTTCTCTGGGAAACAGTAGAGTGTCACACAATTGTAGGTACAGCATAAGAATCAGAGGAGGAATGAGAGACTGCCCATTTTTATGAGAGACGGCCCATTTTTATGAGAGACAGCCCATTTTTAATTTTCTCCTAGCACTTAACTTTTCTCTTCAGCACTTTTTTTTAAAAAAAAGAGTTTCCTTAAAAACAGCTTGAATGCCACATTACTCCTCTCATAATGTTTCTGAGACAGAGCCTGTGAACCTAACAACGGTGCCAAGAATCCACTGAGATGACTGCTCAGGGCAGCTCAGAGAACGATCATGAGGTGCTGGCGACCGAGAGGCACAGGTCCCAGCCCAGGTGCGGAAGCCTCGGGGCAGAGCAGCCCCGTGAGAACAATCACTGGAGGGGAACCAGCCAAAAGGCCTTCATCACACAGGATTTCAAAGCCAGTGTGAGGAACCCAGCAAGGGTCATGTCTCCCTCCAGGCCCATCTTCCTCATCTGTACAAGTGCCACTTTCTCAACCCTGAGACATGTCCAGAGAGGCAGGAAACTTGAAGAAGCCAGAAACATGGTCACCAGGGCTACCAGAAGTCCTGCAGTGCCTCTAATACAATGGTTTTCAAAGTAGGTTCCACAGAGCCAGAGAGTTCTGGACGATAGCTTGGCAATGAATGGAAGCCTATTTAACCATTTAACAACAGTCAAGGACAGCATCACCATGTAGTTAACGTTTTGGTTATTTTATATATAGGTATCTTCTGCTTTTCAACAATTTTCTTTATACCACTTTGCTTTTACGAAAGACCTACATCAGTACCAGTTTTCACTAAAGAAAGCTGAAGAAAATTTTCACTCTACTCCATTCTGGCTCACGAATTGTTTTATAGGAACACTATTTAGAGCAGGGGAAACCTGTATTGGGATTTCCCATGAGGTTTCATGAGGTGTTTAAAAGGAAAGGTTCTGAAAATACTAAGGCCCTATGAGTCCACTCTCCAAGGTCATGTGGCCGGTTAATTTCCAGACCACACAGACATTTTTTGGATGAAGACCTGGGGATGAGGGGCTCATGAAGAACAACGAGAGGGGGTTGAAAGAGCTCCCGCGGGTACGCACTAAAACTAGAGAGGTCAGCTCAGCCCCCAGAAGAGGCTGGAAATCTCTAGAAAGATTTGAGAAGCAAGAGTGGAGGATCATGGGAGCCATAGGACACTCATCCTAGGTGTGGAAGTTCCTTGATGTTTCTCTTCCAGGCTCACACCCAGGTGAGCCGCCCTGGAAGAAGTCCCTTCCAGCCTGGCAATGGGGTCTTGAAGGAGAAGGGCGAAGCCAGGAAAGGCGCGCACATACTTTTTCTGGCTCTTCAGGCTGCGCTCTGGACGCTCAGGCTGAAGTCCCTGCTGGGCACCAGTGGACTTTAGCTTTGCATTCCTCCGCCTTTCCATGGGCCAGATAGGAATAAGCGGATCCACGTCAGCCCAAGAGGAGTCTGGCGAAATCACAGGGAGGACTCTCCAATCTGCTTAGTAACGGCAACAGAAAGTGCTAAATAAGTGAGTCAAGAAATATTTCTGGAAGAGCTATTCAACTGGAATGCTTGGAGAGCCACCCGCATTGCAATAACTCGACCTGTCCTCATCTTTTAGAACACCCATGAGCCTGGGGTTTAAAAAAGGACTTCCCGGCTCCAGGGGCAGCCAAGAAATAAACACATAGAAAAGCTCTCGGTGGCTGATTGAAGTTATTAGGGAGAAAGTTATGTTCTCAATAAGGCTGTGCTTTCTCCCTCTCCCTCTCCCTCTCATTTCACATCTTTTCCCCAACCACTTTTGGGAGTGAGCAGTTTGTCATGTTTCCAAGGGAAGCGACGCAGTCTCCTGCGCGGCAGATCCATCTAAAAACATATCATCTGTCTCTGCGGCAGAAAGCCCAGTTGGAAGAAGCAAGTTCTGTGCGTTCAACTAGAAAACACTTCTTGTTCTCGCTGTCAAAATAATTCTGTATTAAACTTCTGGGATATGTGACTAATGTGCTTGGAACCTTTTGGAGCGACTGGTTTATTTATTTTAGGGAGGGGAGGGCTGCTGCTGCTGCTGCTGCTGGGGGTGGGGAGAGAGGGGGAGGGAGGGAAGGAAGAAGAGAAAAGGAGGAGGAAAAAGGATGGGAAACCTTGAAGAGTGCCCACGGTCTGCTCAGAGACCTCAGGTCAGCTCCCAGGAGCTGGCCTTGCCACACTTCATCATCGCAAGCCGGACAAGGCCCCAGGCCAGGCAGGAAGAGGAAAGAAAAGACACAGAAAGACAGCCAGTACACACTTCCCAGAGTGAAGGTTGCCTCACAGTTCCTAAAAAGACTCGGAAAATTTAAAAGGAAAAGCAAAACAAAACACACACATGCACCAGAGCAATTTCTAAAGCCTTTTCTAAAACTCATAACCACTCTCTACTGCTTACAGTGGGGAAAAAAAAATAATAAAAGCCCCAAACATACGATGGGCTTGAGGGGTGGGGAGGGGCTAGATACCACTTCTGTGACTTGACACAAATGCCTCACCTCCACAGCTTGCCGCTCCCCATTTTTCTAGGTCCTCCCAGGCCTCTGCTGTTCCCTTTGTCTTGAGGACGCACGTCTAGCTTCCTTGTTTATAGAAGTCCTATCTATATTTCAAGACTTTCAACACCACACCCTCCAGTGAAGCCTTCCCTAGCAGCAGCAAACAGAACCCTCTGCCCTTCCCTGCATCACTAATCAGTTTACAGTCAGCCTCCGGCTGATTATCAGTTGTCAACACACCAATCTACCCATCCCCTGACCCACCCTCCATCCCCAGAAACCAGTCTCCCCATAGCGCAGACACACACACACACACACACACACACACACACACACACACACCGCTGAGCCCTTACAGTCAGAAGTCCAATTTTCCTATCTCAGCCTCCCTCTCCCATGTAGTTTGATATGTGCATACACCAAGCATTCAGTCAATGCAGGCCCATCACTGAAACTCTGCCTTCCACAGCAAAGCATCTTTAGCAGTAAACTCCAGAGACCCAAAAAAACCCCAAAACAGCTAAAAACCCTCAGAAAAAGGAATTTGCTCAGGTTAAACCTCTAGAGTCAGCACTTGAAAACTGCCCTGCTGCCTCCTCAAACCTGTTGTGTGGTCAGAGTCTCCTCCGGCCTTCAGTCAGAGAGGGGCAGAAGTTGGGAAAATGAAATGAGGAGAGGGGTGGCAGGAGGGGATGCCTGAAGTGGGAAATAGACCAGGTAAATAAATCTAAAATGCATCATTTTCATCATTGTATATTGAAATTGTCTGCTTCCTTTGTGTTTTGTTTCAACATTCCCCTAGCTTCTCACCTGTAATATGTTTAAAAAAAGGAAAAAGGAAAGAAGATGTTTGGAAATGAGGAACAGGGATGGGACAGTGACCGGGACAATGACGAAAGGAAGAGTGAGCTTGTCTACTTGCTGCTGGTTGGCCTGGCCAGGCCCTCCCTCTGAACTTTCTCTCCAGGGAGCTATTTGGCAAAGAGAGCCTCAGAAAAGAGTTTTCACTTTCCTTCTCCAAACTCCACCTTCCTCCACCACCTCATTTTAAAAATCAGTTCCAACCTCCTAAAGAGGGAAAGGAAAAGTGAGACCCAATTCACTTCACATTTTATACCACTTAAGGAAAACCATTTCTTGGAGCAACTGCTTTACAGTTCAAACCATAACCTACTCTCTCATCCTGTTGCTCTTTGCATTTGCAGCTTTACTCTCATTCCTGTTTCCAGCTTGGAGGTGGTTCTTTGTCCTCAAAACCAGCCTCAACCTTCTCATTCAAAGTATCTCTTCTCTCTCTCTCTCTGTCTCTCTCCCTCTCTCTCACACACACACAGCATTGTTCCTATCTTCTTAATTTATTAGAAGATAATAAAAATATCCACAAACAGTAAGTCTTTATTCATTATTTATTCAATTTAAATATAGCTTAATAAGTGCCCTGAGGCTTCTGAGGTGACCTTGGTAGTAAAGAACCCACCTGCCAATGCAGGAGACATAAGAGATGCAGGTTCAATCCCTGGGTCGGGAAGATCCTCTGGAGGAGGGCATGGCAACCCACTCCAGTTATTCTTGCCTGGAGAAATCAGGCTCCTCTACCATGGATAGACACGACTAAAGCGACTTAGCACACACCCATGCAACAAGCACCCTACTCTCAAAGAGCTAATATTCTGGTAGGGGAGATCAAACTAGCTCATCAGAAAACGAAAAGCAATATCAATGGCCATATGTCACAGCAGTGGCAAATATGATGAACTTCTCCCCACTTGAGGAACCATGTAAGCCTTCCTAGAAAATGCACCTGGCACATAATAGACACTCTAT